AAAGTCCACTTCTGGACAAGTGATAGTGATAACTCTCCAATGGAAGCAGAATCCAGAGGTTGTGAACCTTCTACAGTTTAATGAAACTATCTGATAACCGCAAAATTAAAATGGAGTGAGCATTGCTAAGAGAGTCACTGTAAGTAGTCAGGAAGCTGTAAGGATGTGGGACCTACACACACCTGCGCTCAGCTGTAACAGTGTTACAGAACAGACCTGAGGGCAGGTAGTGAATGATATACTCCTACCAAAAGGACACCCCTTTTTCTCTGGGGGTTCACTCACCTCGTACTAGGTTTGCTTTGCCTGCCACCAGAGGAAAGACTTCTCTTAATGCCAGGGATTGGTGAAAAGGAAAGGAATTATTTATTTAACAGTTATACAGACTTAGAGTCACGACTTAATGTCTTCATTAAAATACTAAAGTTCTTTAGAATACCCACAAATGCACATAGTCCTTCCTTCTCCCCTTTATTCAGTCCAGGATATTGTATCTCAGGAAAAGAAGTAGAAGTCTGTGGTTCAGGCAGCCCCTGAGTTCCTGGCACCATTTGCTGTGTTGCCGTCACAATCTCTGGTTAATCTAAAACCATGTGGCACCTTCTCATGGCCCACAAGCAAGAGTCATTTCTCCCCTTTTCTTCCAGGCAAAGTCTGTCCTGCTGCCTAAGCCACGTGGCACAAGGGAACATCCCAAAGCTGCGTGGCCCTAACTCTCGCCCAAGTTGCATGGTCCCAACCAACTCCCCCTGGTTACAGTGCCTGCATGAGAGCTTGGAGATGATTGCCTCCACGCAATGGGGCCACACCTGCTTGGACTTACTATGGCAACCATGTCCCAAGGCATGGAGCCAATTATCTTCAACCTCTCACGCAGGAGCTGTAACCAGAGGGAGTTGCTTCCCAGTTACATTCTGGGTTGAAGTCATTCTCATTGCCCTGGCTCAAAGCAGGGCCACAGCTCTTTAACATATCTATGAAACTAGTTAAAGGTTATAGATATGTTTAATAACCATGCAGGGGTTAGATGAAAAGCTGTTGCTATACAAAACAGCTCTCAATGGCCCTGCTTCATGTGTCTTATTCCCCAGCTCAGACTGGTGGGGGTGAGGATACCATATACATATTTTTCTCTAATATTTCCTGAACACCCTGAATTTTGGACCCCATTACAAATTTCTATTTTCCTCCCTGCCCCCTCCCTCCCTTGCTGAACCCTGTTACAAGAGCTGTTCAACCTGATGCTGAGCTCTGCTCAAGGCAAAGCCATAACCATCCTGGAACAACCACTGCTCCATGGACATGTTGGGGCTTCCTTCTGTGTAGATTTTGTCTCTTTTGTCTGCATGTTGAAAATAACCAATCTGTTTTAACCTAGTGCCAAATGATAGTCATAGGCACCACCACTTCTGTGCCAATAGGAATCCCCAATTTGAGGTGCAGGAGAGGAAAATTTATTCAGTGCAAGACATCTCAATTGTGATATAGCTCCACTGTGAAAAAAAAAAAAAAAAAGCCTGTGAGGAGGCCATGGGCCAAATGGCCCTGGGGCATGGTCCTCCCCAACTAGAGAGATATGATGTACTCCTCAGTGTTTGGCTCTGTACAGATATGTTCTGCTCTTCTCTCCTCTGTGCAGGTCTGCACTGGCCTGCACTGGCCTGCTCATTCTGCTCTGGCACTGCTGTTGAACTTCAGCCAGGCAAACACACTCTTTGGTGAAAACACATAGTACACTCCCAGAGCTTCCGGGGAATGACTTATATGAACAAAACTTCCTGTCCCTTGTCCTTGGCTGGTTTGTCTTCGTGCAAATGAGGCCTACAAATCCCCACTATTTGACTGATCCAAAAATACTGTTCTTGTTTGTCAGAATGGAGTCACCTCTGATTGCTTGGTGACATCTAAGGTCCAAGGAAGGCCAATGGAAGATACAGCTGCAGCAGCTCTGATTGAACAGGGAAAGCTTCAGTCCTATTGGCTGAAATAGGAATCCAGGAGCTGCTTTAGGAGGGCTGGCTCAGACAGCAGGAACACAGTGCAGGCAGGGAGCTCAGTCCAGGAGGCAGGCAGCTTAGTGCAAGCTGGTCTTGGAATGCAGGTTGCATGAGAGGCCTTTCATGCAAATAGAGTTGGCTGCTAGCCTTTCAAAACAACACACTAAGGTCTCTAAACTCTATTTACCCACCTGGTCAGCTAGCCCCAAAGCTAGCAGAGCATTGGACAGTTGCATGTTCTTAATTAAAACAGCTTCCTTAGGCTAGTTTTTATTTATGAAACATAAATCCTATATCTCATGCACTTGAAATGCAATTGTGTTATTTCTTCAATTGGTATGAGCGAGCACTCATTTGTTTTAAGCCAATAAAATAAGGTCACTTTACAATCTAAATGTGAATTTACAAAAATATGTTGGTAATACTACCTGGTAGCAAAATATACCTTATCTGTAATATACATACAGATGTAGGAGGGTGCAGCCAGGGTGCCCCCAAAAGAAGGATTTGTAATTGGGTCCAGAACTCAGACTGTCCAGAAAATATTAAAAATATGGGATGATGTCCTCACCCCCACAAGTCTGAGCTGGGGGGTTGGGATATATGGAGCAGGGCCATTGAGTTGTTTTGCATAGCAACAACTTTGCAGCTAACCTCTGGCATGGTCATTTAATGCATCTATAACATTTAACTGATTTCATGTATGTGTTAAATTGCCATGGCCATGCTTTGAGCCCGGGAGGAGGGAGTGACTTCCACCCAAGATGTAACTGGGAGGCAACTTCCAGCCCCCATTACAGTGCCTGCATGAGAGGTTCGAGATGATTGGCTCCAGGACATGGGGCCACACCTGTTCAGACTCACTTGGCAGCCCAGCAAAGCTGGAAGGATATGGGAATGCTGGCAAGTGTAGCTAATTGTGGGAGGAGTCGAAAATGGGACTGCAGAGAAAGATTGGCATGGGATTTAAAGGCAGACACCGGCAGCCACTGAAGAGAGAACCACATGCTTTTGGCCAGAATGGGGACTCCTGAAGCCACGTGAGGGAGAATCACCTTGAGGCTTTAGCAGAGAAACACCAGCACAGCTTTAGCAAAGAATCACCATGCGGCTTTAGCAGAGAACCACCATGTGGCTTTCTATTTTTTTCCTGAGATACAGTACCCCAGACTGGGCAAAGGGGGGAAAGAAGGACTGTGTGTTTGTGGGTGTTTTAAGAGACTTTGGGATTTTGATGAAGACATGAAGTCATTACTCTTAAATCTGTATAACTTGGATAAATAATTCATTTCCTTTTCACCACTCTCTAACATGGAGAGCTATAATTCTCTGGCGATGGGAAAGGTGAACCTAGTACAGGGGGACCACCTTTCCCTGGTGGCCAATCAGGGAAAATCATGGGCAACCACATGTGCAGTAGCTTTAAAGTAATACAACTACTTGTACATATGCAGTAAAAGCCTGCCAAAACTAGCCAGGAAGGATCTGCCCTATAAGAATAGAGTCCCTCCAGCCCATGAGGTCAATCTCTGCTTGGAGTTGGCCTGCTCCCATGTTCTCTGCTATACTCTGGGTGTTCAGTTCAATTCTTTGCCGCCATCACCAAGAATCTGGTACCTGTGCCCACCTGTGACACAGAGGCAAACATAAAGAGATATCACAATGATACAAAACAAAAAAAATGATGGATTCAAATGTTTTCTGGCAGATACACTAAGTTAAGGTTTTGCTCTAGTGGCCAAAATGTTTCATGCTATAGCAATTTCTTTAAAGCCTTTTTTAAAACCCAAGAAGAAATTCTATTGTCTCTAACAGGTTCAAAATCCTCTACTTTAAGGATTCTCCTTAAGATCGTCTTACCAGCAAGCACAAAGAAAGGAAATGGAAAGCAAGTGTGCACAATGAATTTGGAAGCCTCCGAAAGTGCAGTGTCCCCCAAAGGCCTGAGTGTTAAAAGGGGCAGATTTTACTGGGGGAAAAGGAAAAGCCTGAGGATAAAAGGGTGCATGGTCTTCTGGAGTCAAAGAACGTGGGAGAAGAAGAAATAAAGCAGTGGGTGGCCAGTGTATCAGGCCAGAGTGGAGGTGGGAAGTGAGGAATCTTCTGAGGGTCTTCAGTAGACCTGGCTTTGATTTCCAAGAACAAGGGAAGAGGAAATGTTTTCCTCTGACCCTCCTTTTGTTCCAGTTCCACAAGCGTTGATTTCCTTTTCTTATTTGTCAAGGCATTTTCCCAGTTAAGAATATTTGTTTCCTAAGGGATAGTAGTCTCTTGATTTTTATCTAGTGCTCTCAAGCTACCAGTTTAAAGTGTTCCTACTGGTTCTGGGAGGTATATTACTTTTTTGTTCTAATTGAGTATGTGAATAGAGATATTTTTAGGTATCAAAGAAACCCATCTTGGCCAAAAAAGCTTGAAATCTTAGGTGATTTTTGTCCAGAAAACTAGCCAAATACAATTCTGAATTGCAGTTTTAGTTCTTGCAATCAGCCTAAGTCCCCCATGCTGTCACCAAGTGGTGACTGGTGAGCATGGCAAGTTTAGGTGTGGTTTTCTCATTTTCACTCTGCCTGATGGGTGGTGACGTTTACTTAGGTGCTCATTAAATAAGATGTACTCCTCCTTATGAAAGTGTGTTTTTGGGTGCCTGTAACTTTGGGTGTCCCTACAAACCTTATAGGCAAAGTTAGTTTCAACCTGGAGGATCCCCTTCCTTGGTACCAAATGTGATGAAGCAAAGTGCTTTCTGGAAGATCCTTCTTTACTGACAAACACAATCGAGGGATGCCCCATCCCAGACATCCAACCCGAATCACCCAGAGGGGCACCCTCAGTGCTAATGTTGAACCAAAGTCACCAGGGGAGGGTCCCCTACCAAAACTGAACAAAGTCATTGAAACCTCAACCACACATGGGCAATCTTGGATCTGAGGGGACTTACCTGAGACCCATAGCCAACACCAGGTGGGCAAATCGAGCACAAGGGGCTCATGTGGCAAGAGATACATTAAAAAAAACCATTTTATTTATTTTTTGATAGAGAGGATGGAAAAGGGAAAGAGAGAGAAAGAAATATCCATAGGTTGCCTTGGGGCATATGTCCCAAGCAGGGACCAACCCACAGCCCGGGTATGTGTCCTACTAGGAATCAAACCAGCAACCTTTCACTTTGCAGGATGACACTGCAACCAACTGGGCAACGCTGGTCAGGGCCAGATGCATTGGTTCTAGGATGGTGTCAGGAGATCAGGTCATTGCCCTGTGTTAGGTGTCAGCCATGGTCACTGGTGTCAATTGAACAGCAATAGATACCCCCAATTTGACGTGTGGTGAAGAAGGAGTCTTTGCTGAGTGCAAATAGCTCAGCAGTGAAACTGCACAGATGCAGAATGACAAGACTGTGAGAGAGCTCAGCAGTGTTATAGCTCAGTAAGGAGTCAGCACAGCCGTGGAGCAGCGTGGCTGCAAGGCAGCCTCCAGTGAGGTGGCTGAATGGGGCTGGACAGCTCTGCTCTGCACCCCTTCAGTTTGGTCCACTTGCTGTGCTGTATGCTCTGGGCTGGCAAGATGTGTTTGCTGCTTCAGCTCCAGCCAGGAAAACACAGTCTTCAGTCTTCTTGGAAAGGGAAGTTGTCTCCTCTGAGCCAAGAGGAGCTCACTTACAAAGAGTGAAGCTCCCACCCCTGTCTGAGACTGGTCCATTCTCACCATATTCCCTGAGATGCTGCCATCCCACCTGGACCACTGGCCTGTGAAAACCAAGGGAGGCTGCCTGGGTGCTGATGAAGCTTTCTTGGGCATGGATATGTACTGCCCAGCAAAGGCATCACCGAAGTTTGATAAGTTCATATTAGAAGGCAGGTCAGATGGCAATTGTTTAGAGGTGAAGAAATGGACACCTAAAGAGCAGTCAGGAGATTCAGGGTTCACAATAAGGTGAGGAACCCCTACTCTCCTTCTCCTGGAGTTCCTTAATTAGGTGAGGATGGGTATCCTTTAGAGCTTGGAGGAGTTGATCTTTGCAGGCCCTGTCCCAGGAGTTGCTGAAGCTGAACAGCATCCTCATCTTGTTTGGATTGATGGGCTCAGCCCGCACCCTTTCATACTGCTCATCGTTTAGCACCCGTCCATACAGCTTGTCCAAGACTGAGTCCACCGATGTCACTCGGGCCACCAGCTGACCTCTATGCTGGTCCATGAAGTGCAACAAGCCTGGGGCCTCTAGGGGTGAAGGTGAGGCTGACAACAAATAAAGAAGAGCTTCCACTGCAGCCTCTACTTCTGATTCCCCACCTCTAAGTCTGCACTCACCTTCTCTGCCTCCCTGGGTACCCCCACCCTGTGAAAACATGGACCACCAGAGAGGCCCCTCTGCCCTGCTCAGGTCAGCTTCCAGCCTAGCCTTCTGCTGGAGCTGGGTGTGGGGTTGGGTTCATGATGGAGGCATTTGAGGATGTACTTTCGAAGGTACCAGGGTCTCCAAGGGCAATATTAAGGACAAGAAAGGACTTCTGCCCAGAGACACACTCCACTCTCCAAGGCCTGATCCCTTGTAAAGTTTGCAAAGAATCCCTTCCTTTCTCTCCTCCCTCCCCTCCAGGAGCAGAGAGCACACCCTAGACCAGCCATGGCTCCTGTGGTCTCCAACAGCTGCTACCGACCTGTATCGCATGGAGGGACCAGAGTAGCTTCAGGTCTGAGGTCTCCTGGAAGAAAACAGATGAGAAGAAGTTTCTGCAACAGTGGTAGTTATTAACACAAATGATTAGCCTGAAGTTGCTACGCATGTCTTACCTCTGAGATTCTTGGGTTCTTAGAACAAGCTACAGACTCACTCTAATAAAATTTCAAGTAAGGTTGCTCAAAATTCTATTAGAGAAAGGGAGACAAATAATTTCTCCCTGAACACTGCAAACCCAGTTTAATTAAGTCTGGGTCTGAATGAAACCTTGGTGAAGAAATAACTGAGTTCTTGGTAGATAGCTTCAACTGTGAGATGTCCTTTTCCAAGTGGAAGTCCACCACCTTGCCTTTTTGACCTTCCAGACAAATACTGTTTGCCCTGGATTTGGATGTCAGAAGCAAGAGTTAAGATCAAGAAAATCTTACCACTTGGGACTTCCAGCCAAGATGGAGGTATAGGTAGACACAGTGTCCCTCCTCACACAACCAAAATTAAGGACATCTAAAATTTAAAAACAAAAATCCCCCAACCACAACAGACAGAAAATTGAACTGTACAGAAGTCTAAAAATCATTCAGCCAGACTGGTAAGGGGCACAGTCGGTGGCCGGCGGAGAGGGTTTGTGGGAGGAAAAAGTGGTGGCTGGTGGACTTGGGTGCCCAGGCGGTGGCTGGCAGACCTCAGGCAAGGGGTGGCAGTGGACAGACCCATTAAGGCATGCAAGGATGCTGGCTGACTGCAGTCACACATTTGCACACAGATAAATCAGACAGAAACAGGCAGCAAGATAGACCATGAAACCCAGGGTCCCAGCACCAAGAAATAGAGCCTAAAAACCATGATTGGAAACATTTGTGGGGGTTGAGTTGCTGGGAGAGACTCCCAGCCACACAGGAGAGTTTGTTGGAGAGACCGACAGAGTCCAAGAATATACACAAGCCCACCCGCCCAGGAACCAGCACCAGAAAGGCCCAATTTGCTTGTGGGAAGTGGCAGAAGGGACTGAAATCTGAAAGAGAGTGTGGAACAAGTACCATTGTTCCTTCTCTGACCCTCATCACATACAACATCACAACCCAGCCACAGGGGTTGCTCCACCTTGGTGAACACCTAAGGCTCTGCCCCTCTGATGTAAAAGGTGTGAACAGACCCGCCCAAAAAAGGCTCAAATGGAAGAACAGATCAAATCCCCAGAGCCAATACATCTAAGGAACCAAGAGATAGCCAACCTATCAGATGCACAGTTGAAAGCACTGGTGATCAGGATGCTCACAGAATTGGTTGATTTTGGTCACAAATTAGATGAAAAAGTGAAGGCTACACTAAGTGAAATGAAGGAAAATGCACAGGGAACCAATAGTGATGGGAAGAAAACTGGTACTCAAATCAATGGAGTGGACCAGAAGGAAGAAAGAAACCACCAAACAGAAAAGAATGAAGAAACAAGAATTCAACAAAATGAGGCGAGGCTTAGGAATCTCCAGGACATCTTTAAATGTTCCAACATCTGAATTATAGGGGTACCAGAAAGGGGAGAGGAAGAGCCACAAGTGGAAAACTTATTTGAACAAATAATGAAGGAGAACTTCCCCAATCTGGCAAAGGAAATAGACTTGCAGGAAGTCCAGGAAGCTCAGAGAGTCCCAGAGAAGTTGCACCCAAAAAGAAACACATCAAGGCACATCATAATTACATTAGCTAAGGTTAAAATGAAGGAGAGAATTCTAGAAGCAGCAAGACACAAGGGGAAAGTTACCTACAAAGAAGTTCCCGTCAGACTGTCAGCTGATTTCTCAAAAGAGACCTTACAGGCAGGAAGGGGATGGAAAGAAGTATTCCAAGTCAAGAAAAGCAGAGACCTACATCCAAGATTGCTGTATCCAGCAAAGCTTTCATTTATAATGGAAGGGCAGATAAAGCACTTCTCAGATAAGGTCAAGTTCAAGGAGTTCATCATCACCAAGCCCTTATTATATGAAATGTTAAAGGGACTTATCTAAGAAAAAGAAGATAAAAAATATGAACAGTGAAAAGACAGCAAACTCACAGTTTTTAACAACCACACCTAAAACAAAAACAAAAACTAAGCAAACACCTAGAACAGGAACAGAACCACAGAAATGGAGATCACATGAAGGGTTAGCAACAGGGGAGTGGGAGGAGGAGAGAGGGTGAAAAGTACAGAGAATAAGTAGCATAGAAGGTAGGTAGGAAATAGACAGGGGGAGGGCAAGAATAGTATGGGAAATGTAGAAGCTAAAGAACTTGTGACACATGGACATGAACTAAAGAGGGGGAATGTGGGTGGGAGGGGGTGTGCAAGGTGGAGGGGAATGAAGGGGGGAAATGGGACAAATGTAATGGCATAATCAATAAAAATATATATAAAAAGAAAATCTTACCACTTGTAAGTAATGGTTGAATTTCAATAGAAAGAGTACACACCAAGATAAAAGGAACAAATGAATGAAGGGGCATTATGATTACTTGGGTAAGGAGAATGATGCAGGTAATTCTTCTGTGGTTTCTGCGGACAGGGCCTGGGATTGTGGGCCATCCAAGTTCAGTGTGATCAGACAGTGTGGAAGGTGAGCACAGGGGAACTCTGGCTGCGGTGCTGAGTGCATCTGGTTCATGTAGATGGAGGGAGGGGGGAGTTCCACATCCTCCATGATGACTGGATGGTCTTAGAGTCCATCCTGCCTCATTCTCAAATGGGCACATCTGCTGAGCAAGGTGACTGGGATGGAAAAGTTTTGAAAAACTAAAATACAAAAGGAATGATGGATGGGACTAGAGGTGTTTAAGTTGCATATGAAAAGACTTAGGGGAGGCCAGGATCAGTCTTTGAAGGATTTTTCCATAGAGATGAAAATAGAGCCTCTGTCAGGCCCCAGGGGACAATTAAGATTGAGGCGAGCAGAAGACTGGTACTGGCTTAGTAAGAGAACATACAAGAATATTGTTATATTCATTAAGGACCACTGCATGAGATACATCAGTAATTTAATTTTTTCTGCAACAATACAAGTTAGGTATTATAGCCTTCATTTTATAAACAAGGAACTGGAGACTCGAATGAGTTAAGTAATTTCCCAAAATCACCCAGCTAGTAAGTGCCAGAGTGGGATTCAAACTGAGGTCTGACACTGGGGCTGCTTCGTGCACAACTGTGATTGTGCCCAAGTGAGACTGAGGGAAACCGGTTCCCTTTCTCCACACCAGGAAGGCGTGGTAGCAGCTCAGGAGGCAGATCCAACTTAATTTCAACAGCACACGAGCCCTGATTGTCCCTTCAAGGGATGTTTAGGGCATTTTGGTTGTTGGAGGAGTCAGTGCTCATTTAAAAAACTATAAATTGTCATCCATCCCCGAAAATTCATTATTTGATTCTCTCTTGTCTACCTTGAAGAAAGCTTAATGACTTTGGTTAGGGTATCTGCTATTTTCAAAATTGGCTTAATTTATACAATCATATAATTATTCAGTTCTTATTGTTTCAGCTCACATCCAATCTGTTACAAGAAAATTGGCCAAAGGCCTTGCTGGTACTAAAGTCTGTTAACACTGGGCAGTGTGGAGACACAAAAAACATGGGAGAGTGAATGGAGCTTAGAGTGAAATTAAGTTCAAATTATGGTCATACAACTGTTCTGTAAATAAAACTGGACATAACTTCTTTGTGCTTTTCTTATGAGCAAATAGTGATTAAACATCTGACACACACACACACACACACACACACACACGCACACACACACACATTCAGTAAATACTTTCTGAGCTGCCTGCACTTGTCTTGACTTTACCTGGTTTCACCAATGCCTCCCACACCAGAGTTCCTTCTTCCTTCTCTCTTAGGTACAGCCTGAAACTTGACCTGAAATGGCCAACGTGTAACTCAGAGAAGAGCTGGGCTTCCCCAGGGTTCCGATAGCAGAGCTCCAGTTCCTGTGGGAGGAGATATCATGTGAGAAGCCACCATTCATCCTGCCAGTGAGGGTCTCTCCCCACCTGACACCTTCTTTGCCCTGCTCAGCCCCATGGGCACCCTTGGATGATCTGTACTGAAACTAATCACCACTTCGGGCTTTGCCTTTTCCACAAATTCTGACCCACAAGAAAGAGGACACAGCTGGGTGCCCCATGGAAGAGTCAGGACTCATCTGCAGTGTAGTGCTCACACATCCTAAACCACATCCTCCTTCCTTCTCCCCCATCATGATGCCAAATCCTCATTTCTCCAGTCCACAGCCTGTCTTCTCAATGGATCACAAGTTTGAGCCACTTTCAACCAAGAGAAAATTTACATCCATTTCCGTTTTTGAAATCACATTCACACAAACTTTGGGTTCCCAGTGTGTTTCCAACATGCCCCCTCCCCATTTCTCACACTCAGTAAATGACACTACTACCTACTGAGCTCTCATGTTCCAGACTTAGGCATCATCCCTACCTCCTACATTTCTCTCCCAACACCAAGTCCTGTTGGCTCTACCTCCAGCCTGTCCCTGAATCCATTAACTAATCTTCATCTTCACTGCTACCTCCCTAGTCAAGCCTCCATCAGCTCCTGCCTGCCCTGCAGCAACAGCCTTTTGACTTGTCTTTGTGTTTTCACTCCTAACTTCTTATCACCCTTCTTACCCAGCAGCCAGAGGCATCTGCGTGAAACTAAATCAGCTCTTGTTTTACAAGTCAGATCCTCTAAGACATTGTCATTGCACTTGGGACAAATTCCAAACTCCACTCCAGGGCAACATGGTCGATGGGCCCCAGGAAAGCTCTGTCTGTTGTGTGACCACAATCCACCTCCTCTCTTTGCTGCAGTCATTGAGCTCTGCCACACTGACCTCCAATTTGTCACATAGAGGTGTCAAGGGTACCTGCCCCTCTCTGCTCCTGTAGGGCTCTGTCACAGATGTCCCCCATCCAGAACCCTTCTTGTCTCTCAGGTCTCAGCTCAGATGTGGCCTTCTCAGAGACACCTCCATAGACCACCCACATGGCCTGGTGTGTTTCTGCACACCCCATAGCTGGCAGTGGGTAAACGTTTGTTGAATGACTGAGTCGTGTCTCTCCTCCCTTGTTAACAACTAACACAGCAGGAAACTGTGAGGTGTTCATCCCTGGATTCATGTGTCCCCACTGAAAGGACACACATCACTCCCTCCTGACCACTGCACATCCACTCCATCTGCCATCGCCACTTAGAAGAGTTCGAGGACTTGTCTGAGAACAGAAGGAAAAGGATAGACAATGGTTCCACTACAGACTGTCCTTCAGTGGATGCCGCTCTGACCCTGAGCAGCACAGTTTGGGCTGTGGTGGAAACAGGGATATCACAGCTGAGTGTCCAGTGTCCTGACCACCTCTTCCTCTGGTGAGAATGGGAGACCAAGAGAGGACAAAGGCAGCCCCTGAGGTCTGGGATCTGGTCTGATGCTCACAGCTGGACCTCAGTGTTGTTACAAATGCATCTGGGCTGCCACCTCAGCCATGTTGTCCTCCTGTTGGACACACACAATCCCCAAGTGTCCCTTTCACATGGGGTGCAGAGCAGCCCACAAAATGCCAAACACTATCCTGCCCCTCTGCACTCACGACTGCTGCTTCATAAATTATGGTTTGTGCTGGCTGAGTCTGCCCTCCCTAGAGACAAAGTCACTGAGGTTCCCAGTGACTGAATTTCCCTGCCCTCTGACAACACCAGATAGAGAGCAAACCTCCATTTCTTTGGACCTCCCCCAGGTTACCCAGCCACGTCCCAGATCACAAATAGGTTCTTTCTGAGACTCTGTCTTGAGAGGCTCACGGCTCCCATTGGTGCCTGTTCACAGGCTGTGATGAGAATGGACCCAGTGTGTTCACTACAGCTGTGTTCCTGGTGCTTGTACTTGGAGAGCATCAACACCCTGTAGTCCAACACTTCTCAGTCTCCTAAGTCCACCCTGTCATTGTCCCTGTCCTGAATGTGACCCTCACTCCTACCAGCTGTCTCTCTCCCAATCTTTGAAGCCTTCCCTCCCACCTCAAACCCCTCTTGCTGTCAGCTGTACCCCAACTGGGCCTTTCCTGGGAAAGCCCTGAGACCTGCCCCAGAGCTATTCCCAAGCACGACCTCTGACCTCAGGGAGGGGGGAACATCAGGGCTGCTCACCTGAGGGATTATTTCCATCTCCTCTGAACCAGACACAGTGTATCGGGAGCCCATGTAGAGGGGGGTCAATGGAGGCGGCTTGTGTAGTTGCACAAACTGGAATTTCTTTTCTTCATCATCTATGGCCTAAGGAGCACACAGAACACTGATCAGGAAGGATGGTCTGGATCTGGCTCAGAGATTCTGCCCTGTGGAATCTTGTCCAAGAAAAATGAGGTGGTGCTTCCACAAGTTTCTGTGTACGGAAGAGGCTACACCCTACATAGCATATTGATGCCCTGGTGACCTGCACCCCCTCCCATGTGACTGCCAATCATGGAGACTCACAGTTTGCCTCAGACATGTGTGGGATCTGATTTGGGTAAAACTAGGAATGAGAATGGAAGAAGAGGACAGTTCTGGATATGGAACCCTCCCATCCACTGACCCCTGGAAAGAGGCTGATGAAGTGTGAGTGATGGCTGATGTGTGATACATCCAGTGGTGAGTAAAGGAGCAGTGAATCCAGCTGGGGAAGCACCTAGGGGCCCAGACCAGTCCATGACTGAAAAGGGGCAGAATTACTCATCTCCTTCAAGTTTCCTGTTCTAAAGGCAATTTTTATGCCTATTGACACTTCTGTGGGGCTGTCTAGAAGCCTGTCGTGCCTCTGTCAGCCCACCCTGGCCTGGGCTTTCAGGCTTTGGTGCCACCTTGCGAATGGAGCAGTCGTTGGGAATCAGATAGAGGTGGAAGGTGACTTCCTCATGCTGGTGGTGATGGTAGAGCAGCACACTGGAGATGATGGGAATGCGCAGAACAGCATGGACTTTTCTCAGTAGTACCATGGGGAAGAAGCTGGGGTTCTCCACGACTGCGTAGTGTGACTCCACCCTAGTGGGGGCCTCCAGGAATATCCCCTCCCATTTAATGTGGGCCACTCGGAAGCAAGATTTGTCCACATTTTTTCCTGAAAAGAATGAATTAGAGAAACAGGAATTTAATGCCGTGGCAAAATAAGGCTTGGCAGGGAAAGTGTGGTCCTCAGTGCAGGCTCAGTGGCCTTCCTGAGGGACTCAGCTAGGAGAGCCAGCAGGACTGGGCCTGGGTTTTATTGGAGTTGTTGGTACAGGTTCTCTTCAGAGGGAGCACCTCCGGAAGGCCCTCAGTCTAAACCTACACTCAGGTGTGGTCTTGGATTCAGGAAACGTGTATTGACCCACAGTTACCTGTGCTGGTTGTGGACTCTACGTCCATGAGGTCTATTGAGTGATGCCTGTTGGTCTGACTCCCGGAAAGAAGAAAACAGATGGGAACAGCTACAGTGGGAAATGGAGTGACCTGGGGTAGTGTACATTCGTGGACCGTTTGTCACCCACTCTCAGATTCTTTCTGTGGAAGAACCAGCTCTGTCTCAGGACTCAAGTTCAGTCTTCCACTTGGGAAGCTGCTGCCACCATGACACAGGTGTGTGACCAGGACTTAACTAAGTGGATGCTCCTAACCAAGACCTTGATCTAGAGGTGGTGACACACAGGTGACAAGACAGAGGTTCTTTTCGCATCAGCCATGGATTCAAGAGTCCAGTAGCCACAGTGGCAGGAGGGATCTGCAGGGGTTGTGTCTGCAGCAGACATCTCCCCATTTTACTTGTGACAACCTTGGCTTCCCAGCATTCTTTGGTTGCTGCCTTTATTTTGTTTAAGACTCCTTGCCTAATCATTTGCTATGTCTGTGAGCTACTTGACAGTATTCTATATATTTCTTTTCTGCATAAATCACCAGTGTTTGTTTCTTTGTTTGTATTAATAACTCAGATCAGTGCACCAACTGTGAACATTGACTCCACAAGAGAGCTCGAGGGATGAAGGCTGGTAGTGGGAGAGTCAATGGCTCAGGTTTCAGGATTCCTGGCTCCATCCCTGTGTTGCCTGGCAACTGCTGCAATGCAGGAGGTTTGTGGGCAAGCAAGGCACATCCAGGAAGGCTCACAGGCCCTCAGTCTGCATGGACACCTATGGGAACACTGCAGACTAATGTGTATCTCAAGACGGGCAGGGGAGATTTCTATCCTGGTTTACTCAAATATTAATTGCTTTTTGAGTGAAAAGTAATATCATAGAGGTGTATACCATTTAACAAAAGGTATAAGTATTTACCTCTGACCCCCCAAGCAGTACAACTATTATTACCATCTTTCCCTGTCTTGTCTTTCTCTGTAGCAGAACCTCTTCATGGCTCCATTACAGCAAGGAGCTTTTTCTCCTGTCTTTCCCATGCTGGTTTGCATGGTCACAAGCCCCTACAGACCTTTCCAAGGACTGCAGCACATGGTCCCTGCTAGTGATGCAGCATCCCTGGTTCACTGCTCCCTTCTTGTTTCAGAGCTGAGGTTGTTTCCATAATAAATAGTCCTGCAATGCACATGTTTCTGCAGAAAATTTTTCTATTTCCCTTGGGGTAGCATCTAGAAACTGATAAATCCCAAGGGAGGTGAAAAGTGTGTGAAAGGATGTGAACGCTTCTTCTTTTGCCAAATTGTTTCTCTAAGAGGTGGTGCTCCTGATACCACCCTGGTGACACTCAGTGGATGATGTCCTCTTGCTCCCCAGAGTGCTGAGATGTCCTCAGGTGTCAGATGGAGGAACTGAAGCTCTGAGCCAGCCAGAGCCATAGAGTGGGAGCCCTGCACTCTGACCATAGTCTGTGGCCCTTGCAGAGACTCTGTGACTCACTAATTTTGTCTGAATTCTGGATAGTGCTGTGTGTGCATCCAACTTGTCTCCTTGCTGGGTAGACTAACTGTCTGGCATGCTCAGCACTGAGAGTGTTACAAACTTTCTGTAGAACCTCACAAATGAATGAAAATAGCAACCAGTGTCCACTTCCCGAATGAAGCCACTATTAGGCACTGAGGTCATTTTTTCCAAGACAATAAGCAGCTTCAGCGCAGACAGCAGGAAATGAGGAAACCTGGAAGGGGCTTAGTTTCTTGATTGGGCCCGACACAGTGAGCTACAAGAAGACTTTGTGAATTTTGCTTCTTGCTTTATGTACAGTATCCCAAGGGAAAGTCCTGTCTGGTTACAGGGTGAGGTCCAGAATGTGGCCTAGAGAAAGCTGGTGGACATGGGCTTGGGCAGACATGGGGTGGGGGTGGGTGGAGCTGATTTTCCTGGAGGTCATAAACCTGGGTTAGAATCTCACCTCTGGTCCAGCATCTTCACCTCTTCATGCTTCAATATCCTCATACGAATAATGGGAGAAACCATAGTTTCTAACTCACTGTGTCATTAGGAAAATTAAGATGATATGAATATACATGGAGCTGCCACATGGCATTGTGGACACAGAATGCTCAGTAATTGTCCACAGATGTAAATATTAACTTTGTACCAGGAGCCCTCAAAAGAGAGTGGCACCACTTGGTGAATTCACTCGTGTCCTGGTGTGATCTTCAGTCTCAAAAGCTTAGGCTCAACTCCTTGTGTCGGAGAGTTTCCTCTTCCTTGGGCAAATCCCATTTTGCAGGCCAAACAGAAGGTGGTACAGGACTGACCAGGGCAAGGCTAGGGTGTCCTCATCACAGGGAGGGGCCAGCCCATCCACCCCCAAGACAGTGGTGATTGGGGAGTTGGGAGCAAGAGCTGAGGCACATCTTGTTCTCTCGGGCTTTGTTGTTACATTCTCATTCCAGGCCTTAGACACATGATGTTTGTCCTCCTGTAACGCCCTAGTGTAGAGCAGGGAGAGGTGGCGTAGCCCCAAGTTTCCCAGGCCAAGAGCAGACTAAGTTCTCTCCGTAGTAAAAGCTGAACCTACTGACTCCATTGGCCAAGCCCGTCTCCCTGACAGAGCCCTTGGAGATGCCCTGGACCAAGGTCTCACTCTGCAGAAGGAGAATGTTTGTTGAGGTGGCTCATTCATCAGTCCATAGGTTGTCAGGTGGGAGGAAGTTACCTGTCTCAGCTCGTTGTTGGAACCCTCAGCACCTGCTCCTCAACTTGCCCACGTGAATGGACCACTACAGCCCCTGAGCTACTTCATGCCTCCCTCCTCACTGTATACTCCCAAATCTTCTTTAGCTTATCTTCCCCAGTGAAGCTTCCCCTGTTGTGAAGCTAGGTGACCCTGAACCCTCAAGTCTCTCCCCCTGGGATTGGCCTCTGCTCCTCCTGAGAAGCAGCTTGAATTGAATGCTAGACCTTGTGGCCTCAACACAGGGGCCTCCCCAGGGTCTGGTCAGATCTTTGCTTGTTTATTTTTTCGTCCGTTTTTCTTTCTACTAGTTTGTGAATGATTGTCCTTACATATGTATATATTTTTTGACTGAGGACTCAGTCAATATATTTTAAAATATTTTAAAGTGTTTACTTAAAGTCTGAAGTAAATCAATGCCTGTACATAGAACTGATACTAAATTTATTTAAGTACTGGAGTGGCAGAATAATTAATACATCAGGCTATAGAGTCATACACACTGCTGAACCAGAGGGACACGCTCTGAGAAATGCACTTTTCGGCAACTCTGTCATTGTGTGAACTTCGGAGACTGCATGTGCACAGACCTAGATGGTAGAGCCTGCTGCCCAGCTAGGCTCCAGGGAGTGCCTCCCTCGTCTACGTGGTCTGTTATTGAGCAAGTGGTTGTTAGGGGTGCATGACTGTAAATGAAACATTAGAAATATATCCTCCTTTATTACCTAACCTATGCCTATCATATGGGTGCTTACAAATGGCATAAGCTATAACATGAATTGTTTAATAAATCATTCTATCATAATTCAGTAAAGTTCCTGTCTGAGTCCTGATTGACAGGGGAACCGCATCAGGTCCTTCTCACTGTCACTAAGTTGACAGGCATGAGGCCTCTGGCAGTCAGCACTGGCTGGCTGTGCATCTGATGCCTCTCATGACCTGGACTGGACAGGCTGAGCCACAGCCCCTGCCCACAACACAGCTCCTGCTGCCCATGGGTCAGACTCTGCTGCCCACCCTGGGGGAGGAGCAGAGATGCTGCCCCAGCCTCCCTGTCCAAGCCGGCACAGGCACAGGCCCTGTTCCTTCCCTGTGTGGGCAACACCAGGCATTGTTGTCAGGTCACTTGTGGTTACAAAAAATGGAGAATGCTCTTTCCTGATGAGTCCAGAAGTATTTCAGCATTTTAACCAGGAGGGCAGGGGCAGGGGCGCCTTCACCTCCTTGTGAACAACACTAGGACTTCGGGCATGTTAGTGTAGGGGACTGGTTTGTCTTGGTCTGGGAAATGTGACTCAGCTCTGTATGGAAAACCTACAGATGCAAAGTGGTGGGCAGGAGCTAGACCTTCAAACCGAGTTTTCCCATGGGAATCAGGCCTAGAAAATGCATATAGATTGTTATTGCTTGCTCTTGCTAAAACTCCATCACCCTGGTCTAAAACAACAAATGTGTATTGTCTATCTTCAAGGTAATCTCCAAAGCCTGTATGAGTTTTCCCAAGGACAAAGCTAATGAGCTCATCGTCATTCCCCTTTGCATGTTATTTTTATTTCCTTGATTGTACCTAGAATGTAGACAATAATATTTTATGTGATAGATAATAAATCTTTCTATGATGTAAGACCCAAGGAAGACAATAAAAGCCTGTCTAGGCAGGGGTGGAGCGCTCTCCTCTTGAGGGAGTGGCCGAGGCACCATAGGCACTCTCCCCTTGAGAGTAGTCGTGCCTGTCCCCTTTTTCCACACAGGGTTGTTGTTGCCTGTGCATTGATTCTCATTGTAAACCACAACAGATGGACTCTGCTGGCCAGGGTCTGCAACATCTGGCGCCCAGGAACAGGGACGCAACACGTTAGCACTCTTACCTGCTGTTGGTGTTGGCTTTCAGTTTTCTCTCTTTAAATTTCCCACACATCAGACGTTGTTATTGTTGCTTTACCCAGTCTTTGGTCTGATTTATCCAGATGTGTCTCCGTATATTGGCGGATCACTTCATCTTGCACCTCCCACCTTCCATATGGGATCACTTTCCTTTTTCCTGAGACACATCCTTTAGAGTTCCTTCAGTAAGGATTTGTTTGTGGAAAGCTATCTTGGCTTTAGTTTGTTTTCAAATGTCTATTTTTCACCTTCTTTAAAAATATTTTTTGTGGCCTTTATTCTTCATTGACAGTTATTTTCTCAGGACTTTGAGGTTCTCATTCCATTGTCTTTTGCCATTCCTTGTTGCTGCTCAAACATTACTGTCATGCTGATTGCAGCTCCTTGCTCTACAATCTTTCTGCTTTTAAAACCTGCCTTTAGATGTCCGTATTCTTTAGATTCATGTTAACGTGTCTAGTGCCAATTTATGTTTATTTCTTTTCTCCTACTTTGAAATTTTGGACTTTTGCCTGCTGAGAAATCATCTTTCTTCGAATATTAGATCTTCTCCATTCTCTCTTTAATATCCTTCTGGAAACCTGGGTAGATGCAGCATAGGCCTTCTCATGGTGTCTTCCATGTAACTCAACCCTCTCATATTTATGCTTTCTCATATTTCTGTTAATTTAGCTTGCTTTCAAACTTGATTTATCATTTTAATGTTTTATCGCTTGTTGCTCGTGTTTTCAGGACTGTTTCTTTAACCACAGGAACACACTTGTTTTGCATTCTCTTTCCGATAACCGAAATGTCTGAAGTCTTTACAAGACTCACATCCGGCACCTGAGGTTACTCTTGTTTCTCATTTATGCTGCCTTGTTTACTGTTTCTGAGGTTTTGACTGTGACTTCATATTTTTTTAAACTTTATCTGTGGGATGTTTTTAGACATGGGAGAGGTTAAGATAACCCTGTGACCCTTTGTGGGTTCCTCAGGAGCTGCTGTGCTTCTTTTGTGGCAAGAGCTCTCCAGTGGAGTCTGGTGACACTGTTTCTGGTGACACTGACAGGCAGTACAATGGCTTCCCATTGTGAGTCTCCCGGTACCCCAACCTTTCTTGTTCAGTCACTTAGCCTTACTTTGCAAGTAGTCTTGTCTTAGAAAAGTCCCCTCGAAAATCTCAGCTGAATGTGTCATGTTTCCTGCTGGGATCATAGTGATACAATCCACGTGAAGAAAACTTTGTAAATGCTAGTTATTATTGTTATAGAGGAGTTCCCTTTCTATTGAGGGAAACTTCTAAGTAATTCAGGCAAAAGTAATTATGATTCTGAGGGACAAAATGTTTCAAAAAAGATATGCCTAGAGCAATGTGGAATGAGAAAGCTGTCTGCATGTCTGTAACCCTCCCTCAGTCTGTCTAAGAAAGCCACAAGCACCCATCTCAGGACATCACTGACTGAAGTAATTCCAGGTCTATTCTTACCACCGTCACCTTCCCTCCACACTCCCACTGCTTACCTTGGAGATCCACAAAGTGAGGGATGTACACAGCTGCCACAGCTCCTGGTTCAGCCTTGATATTAAAAAGAGGCCCTGCAACCATCCAACTGTGCTGTGGGACAATCTGGTCCAGGATTTCTTTCCAGGAACAGAATTGAATCTCAATGGTCACTGGCCTTCTCACCACAAAGGAGAAGCCTGTGTTGTTCCATGAGTAGAAGCCAGCCATTGGGAAGTGAACTCTGGGGATAAGAGAGAGAAGTATACACTGATTAAATACTCTACACAACCTGAGTACCTACTGGATGCCCGACCCCATGCACAGCCCTGCATGTCCAGCAGAGTGGCTACGAGCTCAGATACCATTATCAGAGGGGTGTGGGTTTGAGTCCTGGCCCCTCTGCTCTCTACTCTGGACCCCTGAGCAAGTCACTGACATCCCTCATCTCAGTTTTCTTCTGTGTAAAGTAACATAAGAATAGCACTATTTCCATGAGTTGTGATAAGTGACCTAATGTGTGCTGACAATTACTATGTGCCTGGGCAGGGTTAGTTGTTTCTATAACGATGATAATAATAATATTAATGATAAAATAGGAAAGGGTTATTATTTTTAAGGGGCCAAATTAAAGCAATTTGTATGGTGCTGTTAATGCTAACCTCTTGGAGCATAAAGAAACACTATACAGAGATAGTACACTGTCCCCAGGTTCCCGTAGGTAAAGGGTAGTCCCTGGGTTGTGTAGTGTCTCTGTGTAAGTTGGGGGTAATCCTGTCTCCCAGCTGAGATCATGTCTCTGACAGCGAATGCCACTGTGTTATCTGAGGGATTCGGACTGAGATTACAGACGTTTATTACTTATCACTGGGAACCCTTGGGAGGCAGGGCTGCCACGTTCACATCAGGGCCCCTTGTTAATGGTGTACACTTCACACATAGTGGATATTAATAAAACAGAAATATAGATGGAGACAGTTTTTTAAAAGATTTTATTTATTTATTTTTAGACAGACGGGAAAGGAGGGAGAAAGAGAGGGAGAGAAACATCAATGTGTGGTTGCCTCTCACATGGCCCCACTGGGGACCTGGCCTGCAACCCAGGCATGTGCCCTGACTGGGAATTGAACCGGCAAACCCCTTAGTTCACAGACTGTGCTCAATCCACTGAGCTACACCAGCCAGGGCGAAACAGATTTTAATAAAGTTTATGGGACACAACAAACCAAATACACTGAGTGGACTTTATTTTGATCTTAATTAAAAGAAACCACTTACAAGGAGACTTTTTAGATAATTGAGCATGTTCAAGTACAGACTGAATGTTAGATGGTAATGAAAATGACTCATTGTAGATCTTGTCAGGTATGATAATTGCAACTGGCTTATAAAAGAAAAGGTCTTTATTTGTATGTTTTGAAATGAATCACAAAATATTTAAGGATAAAATTATCTAATATCTTGAATTTAAAATGCTATAACAGCAAAAGAGGGGGAAAGTGAATAGTTGGAACAAATGTGGTAAAACTGTTGTTGGAGATGAGTAGAAATTCCTTGGACCATTATTTTGTGTTTGTTTGCAACTTTTCCTCATAAAACCTCTTTTTTTCATAATAAAAGCTCCAACCTAGTATCTCAGCCCTGCCTCTGCTTGTGGACTTGGCAGTGAGAGGGGTCCCATGGGCCATGAGTGGGGTTTGGAGTACCTGTTGGGATCTAGTGTGGGGACATCAACGGGGGGAAGGCCAGCCTGGCACAGCATAGTCCCCTTTACTCACCGGTACAGACTCCTGTATTTGTCAATCACTTCTGAAGCCACATGCTCAGTTTGGCCCCTGGAGCCATCTTCAGTACCTAGAGGCTTCACTGGGTGGTCCTCTGGTGTTTCAGAATACAGAGAGAATGTTACCATCCTTACTGCTTGAGCGGAGCACTTCTCTGGAAGAACAGGGTGCTGGTCAGCTTTAGGTTCCCCTGTCTGGTCTCCCCTCCCCTTGGCTGCCCCATGGAGGGCCCTTGCCAAGGCAGGTCTGCCTGGACCTTGGCAGGCAGTGTGTCTGGAGCTTCTGTCCTTGCTGCTTGGGCAGCCTGCCTGCTGTGTGAGGAGGCCAACACTGCTGCCCCCTGAGCACACCCTGCCACCTCCCCCTCCCACTGATCCAGAGGTATTGCTATTCCCATTCTCTACCAGGAAGGTAGGTTGTGAGAGGAACATGGGTATAAAATGGATGACCAGGGATGAAGAGGTAAGTCCCAGGCCTCAGAAGCCCAGCGTGGGTCTTGGGAGACTGGGCCCTGGTCAGAGTCTGAGACATGCCACTGCTGCCTGGAGAGGAGGGGCCTCGGCCCCTGGGGTGGGAGAGAGGGAAGCAGAGATCTTGTAAGGTTCCAGGCGTAGACATTCTCTCATGGGGTGGGGCTGTGTGAGGGGTATTTTGGATTGTCCCACACCAGAGGAAGGGGGGTGAAGGGGATGACCTTCCACACTCCCCTCTCTTATCCCAAATCATGATGCTTCCAGCCTGACCCTTCCAAGTACCTGATTCTGGTGTCTGCCATTTGAGTGGGGACATCTCATTGTCCATCTCTCCTTTACTTGGGGTCTCCTCAGGGATGGTCAGACTCGGCCTCCTAGACACAGAGTTGTTCATTGTCCCTGAGATGTTGGAGGAAGCTGGTTCTGCCTACACGACATCCCCTTTAAATTCAACTCATCTGAATTTCTACTCATTGCCTCCATCTGAGATTCTCCCATAGGCCCTGTCTCTGTGCACAGCCCCCAACAACCCAGCTAACCAGGCCAGAACTGGGGTGTAGTTCTGACTCCTCACTCCCTCTGAGCACTGATGGATCCATCAGCTGCCTCCAGATTAGCTCTCCTTTCTAGTCCCTTCTCTCTCCCTCCATGCCCTCCACCCAAGCCCTCTCCTGGGACCTCTGTCTTGAACCATGTAATTCTCTCCCTGATGGTCCCCTGCTTCTTCTCTTGTCCATCTCTGGACAATTTCTACACAGCAGCTGAGCTTCAATATGAACTCGACTCAGCACTTTGCTGCTGAAGCCCTGCAATCTCTGTTACTTTTGGGATTAGAATTAAAAGTTTTTCACATGGCCCAAAGGCTTATTTGTGCCACTGTTCTGCCCCCACCACCACCTCACAATCCACCTGCACCCACTCTCCCTGCTCACTCATGTCCAGTCCAAGGTTTCTCAAGTTCCATAACCGGAGACCATGTTTAAACACGGATTCCTGGGCTCACCAATAAATTTTGATTCTGCAGATATTGTGGGGACTAATATTTGCATTTTGAATAAGCTCTCAGGGATGCTCATGCTAACCCACATTAGAGAAGCAGTGTTCCTGGTCCCTGGCCTCCTCTATTCCTCCAAGAAGCTTAGATCAGAGCCTCTACCTCTGCCTGAAACTGGCAGCTAAGCCCTCTGACCAGCTAAGCCCTCCCATCTTTCAGAACTCAGCTCACGCCCTTTCGACAGAGTCTAATAGGCCCATCAGTGCACTCACCCTGACCCCAGGCACAGTGATATTGGCGGGGGTCACCTGGGCCTGTGTCCCTGCTGAGTGAAGCTCCTGGGAGCTGGGCCCTTGCTCAGGGTCCTGTGTTTAACACACTGCAGGTGAGAGGGGATGCTGGTTTCCTGATGAAGGGCTCTTGTCCTGAGCTTTGGAGCCCTTTTCTTTCACATCAGGTGAGGCAGAGCCCTCAGAACCAGGACATGGGGCATTTACAGTCACAGGCTGAATACACCACAATGAAGGAACAAGGGGGCTGCTGCAGGTTCCCAGGAAGGAGATGGACTCTTCCTGTTCCTGAGGTGTACCCCTCCCGCTGGGCTGTGGACAGAAGGTGTTTATATGGATGGGGGTGGGAGGGGGGCTTTTCCCCACAGAGCTTTCTTCCTGTTTCTGTCTGCCATTTAGGGTCATTGCTTCCCATGCTCCAAATCTTACTCACTCACATGCACTGTTTTCATTTGTTCATCTCCTTACTCATTGAATGAAAGGGTTTTAGCAGGGAAGGAACGGGAGATGGTTTGCACTAAACTAACTAACTAACTAACTAACTAACTAACTAACTACTTCATTGTGGCTGCTGTGGTGTCTTGGCTTCCTCCTGAATCTGTCAGTCTCTACATCCAACCTCACCCTACCCTACTTTTGCTCGTGTCTCTGGACCAGATTCAATGCTTGAACCCTGCACCTGAGTCTGCTGATGGGAGTTCTGTGTCTCCCTGTCTTACCAACTAACTTCGAACTTCAGAGGCTCTTCCAGGTTCATGTTCTTCAGCATCTTTTTCACCTCCTCACTGAACTTGTTCCGGTCCAGGCTGCAAACACAAAGGGAGCCTGGTTATCCTGACACCCACATGATCTCAACGTACGCTAGGGCCAGAAACGTGGAATCTTCCACCTCCCAAAGGACCTTGTCATAGGCTGGATTCCCCAAAATCAGCTTCTGAGATGCAAAATAGATTTGGGAGGTTTATGAGAAGTTATCCTGGGTCAACCCCAGGGCAAAGGAAGGGAGGGAGCAGGACTGGGCAGAGGGGCAAGTGATGCAATCTCAGTGGACACAGTGACTGCGGGACTTCTGATGTGGGGGTGACCCTCCAGAGCTGCTGCATACTGGGAGGAACAGCTGGATCTTTATACCACCACACAGGTCTGTCACTGAACGCACACCTCCCCAGGAAGGGAGATGACTTTGTGTGACATGGCCCCAGTTGTGACAGGCCATCCCTGTAGCTGGCTGCTGGCAACACTTCCAAGACCTGGGGTTACATCTTCATTCCTGGAAGGGAAGTGGGCAGCACTTCACAGCAGTCACCAGAAGACAGCCTGTCCCCATGGCCTCAAAATGACCACAAAGGAATAGATCCTGGGATTTCCTGCCTAGAAGCTAGATTTTCTGGAAAGAAGGATCCCTGTTCCCATTCTCACAGGCCTTGTGTGCTGGGTTGTCCATTGGATTTGGGAGCTGCTGCCCTCTCTGGGCCTCCACATCTTCCTCTCTGCCTATTGCGAGCCATGAACATGGAGGTGAGAAGACCATGCTCCCGGTAAAGGGTGCACACACTGTACTCATTACTGCTGTCAGAGCAGCTCTCCCCTGGGGAGGGTGTGGGGCCACAATGTAGGAGGGGCTCCCTCTCAGGGAAGTCCCGGGGCTCTAGGAAAGTAGGAGGAAAAAGAAACCTTCATAAGATATCCAAAAAAAAAAAAAGCTGCTCTGAGGCCACCAAGAGGTGACCAATAACTGGTGAGCAGGGCGATAATGCAGATGTACAGGCAGGCCCCACTCTGGAGAGGCCCTTCAACATACAGGGTGGTGGCAGCCACAATTGCCCAGTGGAGAGGGGCTGGGGTGTTAGGGTGCCAGCCTCATGGACTGGAGCTCCCTTGGGTGTGAAGGGTCAGAGCTAGCTTTTGGGAAACCCACATGTACAGTGTTTAACTCCTGCTATCCTGCTCCTCCTGCTGCTCTGGGTTTGAGAAAGGGGGGCCTGTTGGAGGAAGGCCGAGGGCTGAAGCTTTGCTGTTCCCTTTGAGAACCGGCAACTGGAGCCTCAGCCAAGACCTCGGGGGTCAGGACATGAGGTCTGGAGCCCTGCCAGCTCTGAGAGTGTGCGATGGGGCCCCAGCCAGAGTCACAGGGAAATGTTGCCAGGAACAACAGCCTTTGGGCTTGTTTTCAGGCTGGAGAGGAGAGGGGAAGTGGCTGAGAGGCAGTGTGGGATTGAGGGTCCCTGCACTGCAACCACGCAGGGCTCCAGGGCTCCAGGGCTCTGAGCCTGTATCTGTCCTGGGGTCTCCTCCATGCTCTGTTCTTTACCTGGACTGCAGCCCCTGGCTGGGCCTGGTCAGCTGCTCTTTGTGCTTCAGGTCTCGGCCTGATGTCACTCCCCAGGGAAGCCCTCCCTGCCCCTCAGTCTAATTCGATTTCCTCCCATAACACAGTGCATTTTGCCTTCCCAAATTGCATGAAGCTTAGAAATATACACTGTGTGTTAATACGTGGTTATCATCATCTCTTGTTCCCACTGGACTGTAAGTTTCAGGATGGCAGCGCATTGTGTCTGTTGCTCCTCTCAGTGCCTGGCCCTGTGGTGGGACATGGCTGGCATGTAATGAGTGAATAAATGAATGAGGCAATGAAGGAAGGAAGGGAGGACTGCCTTGGAGTGGAGAAGTGAATCTGTGAGTCCCCTAGAACATGTGGCCTCACTGTTGGTTGTCATCTGATCCTCTCAACTCGGCTCCCAGAAATATCCTGGTTTTACATGCATTGTATTTCACCAGAGTCTATGAGGTGGGTATGAGTTTCCATTGTACAGATGAGGAAATCGAGTTTCAGAGGTAGACCCTCCTACGTCTAGTGGTGTAAGTGGCAGAGCTGGTAGGGAATCCAGGCCAACAATTTATTTTTTGTCTCTTTACTTCCCTTGTCTAGTTCAGGGCCCTGAATCCCTTCTATTCCTCTCCCTCCTGTCCCTGCCCTATTTCCATAAGGGACCCACAGGGCCTTACCACAGGAGGTGGAGTTGGCAGGTGGCTTGCCTGAGCCCTTCACAGAGCAGCCTCCCACCAAGGTCACCCAGGTCGTTCTCATGCATATTCAGTATTTTCAGTCTGGGGCAGCCCTTGAACATGGAGGCCAGGTCCTGGCAGCAGGCAGACGTAAGGCCACAGTTGACCAGCCTGTGGGAGAGATTTGCATGGGCCCATCATCACTGTTCTCAAGGCCTCCTCCTTGAGGCAACTAGGGTTGGCTTCCCTTTCTAGAGCCTGTGTCCCTGTGGGGGTCCTTGGTGACATTAAAGGAAGACAAAGGCATGTCTGACTGCAGGAACCTGGGAGATCGTAACTTTCTCCTGTGGCCAAGGAGCCTCTCAGAAGGCAGATTGTCACCGTTTGTGTGTCTCTCACCAACCTTGCCACTCCCCGCATCAACCCTACATCATTAATTCACCCAACATCTCACTTTCACCCTGGGTGTAACTGTTAATTACATTGGCTCTGCCAAATGCCCAGTTAGCTGACATGTGATGCTTTGGTGCGTTTCAACACCCGGGCACCTACCTGTCCCCCACGCCATCACTCCACCCTGCCTAGCTCTCACCTCTCTGTCCTGTGGTCTTCGGACAGCTCCCTCCCCTTCTGTGTCCCCTCTCCTTATAGTGGTGATAACGAGGAACAATTACACCAGTTGCTGCAGGTTGTAGCATGTCTGTCCCAGCTGCTGGAATAGGTGCTGTGCTCCAGTGTCCTCGATGTTGTTGAGGCTCAGGTTCAGCACGGTCAGACTCCAGGTGGTACTCAGCCCATGGGCCAGGTCCTTGCATTTCTCTGCTGTGAGGCCACAGTCTGCCAAGCTGTAGGAGATATTCATCTGTTTATTCCACAAACAACCACTGGCACCTCTCCTGGGTCAGGCAGAGTTAAGTAAGGTTTCCAAGACCCCCAGAAATACACAGGTACTAGAGGATTGATGGAAATAAAAAAAACAGTAGGTCAGTTTTCAGATCCGTTTGAAAGCCTTTCATGTTTCTGTCATCTGAATTCCAGGTCCTTGTCTTTGACCATGAGATACTTGAGATCTGGCTCCTTGTCATGTCTGTTCTCATCTAGTATCCCTTTTATCTGTATCTGGCTCAGCTCCTTGCTGTTCCTTAAACACTCCAGCCACAGTCTTGTGCTAGGGCCTTTGCACCTACGTTTTTTTCTACCAGGAATAACGTTATCACTTGATATCTCATGGTGTTGTTGTTGCTCCAGCTTTTTGGTATTTGCTCTAAAGTTACCTTGGGGAGCCCTGGCTGGTGTGGCTCAGTGGATCTGTTACCCAACGAGAGATCCAGGGTGGGGGCAATGCTTGGCCCACCTAGGGATGCCAAAAACTACAGAACAGGGGTCCCTCCCAAGGACAGAATATTAATATCTACTGGGCTCTTCTGTCCGCCGCCAATTGGAAAGACATCTCTCAATGCCAGAGATTTGTGAAAAGGAAACAAAATGTTTATTTAATGCTATTCAGGCCTAATGCCTCCACTAAAATATCAAAGTCCTTTAGGGTATACACCTACACCCACACAGAGCTCCCTTCTCCCACTGTCCCAACTCCGGGTACCGTAAATCAGGAAAAAAGTACACGTCTGTTTTTCAGGCCGCTGGCACCGTCAGCTGTGTCACTGTGCAGGATCTCGAGTTAATCCAAAGTACTGTGGTACCCTCTCATGGTCCACTGGCAAGAGTTCTTTGTACCCTGTTCCAGTCAAAGTCTCTCCTGCTTTCCAGGCCACGTGGCCAAAGGGGCACCCCAAAGCCGCATGGGCCTCTTCTACCAAAGCTGCAGAGGTTCACACTCCACCAAAAGCACGTGGCTTTCTTCTTCACCTGGCTGCAGGGATCTCCATTCTGGCAAAGCTGCGTGGTTTTCCCTTCCACCTGGGAAAGAGGGGGTCCGCACTCTGCCAAAACCACGTGGCTCCCTCTTTCACGTCACCAAGAGGGGGTCCTCACTCTGCTGAAACTGCGTGGCTCTCCCCTACATGACTGCAGGGGTCCTCACTCTGCCCCAAACCGCGTGGCTCTCTCTTTCACTTGGCCAAGTGGGGACCCTTCATTTCCTGGAGCCAGTCTTTTCCAAGCTCTCATGAAGGCCCTCACTCAGGGGCAGCCCCTAGTTCCATCCTGGGTAGAAGCCACTCCCTTCTCCCTGGCTCAAAACTTGGCCACAGGTATTTAACATATCTACGAAACCAGTTAAAGGTTATAGATATGTTAAATATTCATTCCAGAGGTTAGCTGCAAAACTGTTGCTATGCAAAATAGCTCTCAATGGCCCTGCTCCATTCAGCCCTTCCCCCTTGGGGGTGGGGGTGGGGTTGGGGGGAGGACATCTTATATGTCTCTCCAATATTCCTATACACTTTGAATTCTGGACACCATTCCAAATCTTTTTTTTGTCTCCCGCCCCTTTGGCTGCACCCTGCATCAGATTTAGCACTAGCCTGTTAACCAAAGGATCACTGGTTCGATTCCTAGTCAGGGCACATGTAGCAGGCCAGGTCCCCAGTCGGGGGGGAGTGTGAGAGGCAACCACACATTAATGTTTCTCTCCTTCTCTTCCTCCCTCCCTTCCCCCTGTCTAAATATAAATACATAAAACCTTAAAAAAATAAAGTTACCTTGGGGAAAGCTCACCTCACCAGCCTTGCTGTTTAAAATTGCAGCCCTAGCCCCCATTCCTTTTATTTTCTCTATAACTCCAGTCACATATATTTATTTATTTGCTATTTTTCTCCCTTGAGAATATATGTTACATCGTTACCAAACGAAGAGATGGGATGATCATCTGCCTGTCACCGTCAAAAGCCAAACTAGCTGGACAGGTCCCAGTGCAAAAGGAAAGAGGTTTATTTAGGTGATATGCATGCATGTTGTCATGGTGATACAGGGTGCAGCCGGGGGGGACCCCAAAAAAAAGGAATGGTGTCCAGAATTCAAAGTGTATAAGAATATTGGAGAGACATGTAAGATGTCCTCACCGCCCCCCCCCCCCCGGGGGAGAGACAAATAGAACCAGGGCCATTGAGAGCTGTTTTGCATAGCAACAGTTTTGCAGCTAACCTCTGGAATGGTTATGTAACATATCTATAACCTTTAACTGGTTTCATAGATATGTTAAATAGCTGTGGCCAAGTTTGGAGTCAGGGAGAAGGGAGTGGACTTGGACTCAGGATGTAACTAGGGGCTGCACTCCTGAGTGAGAAGGTCTTGGACTCAGAATGGAAACGAGGGGCTGTATTCCTGAGTGAGGGTGCCGCTGTGTGAGAGCTTGGAAAAGACTGGCTCCGGGACATGAGGGGAGAACTGCCCAGGTGAGGAGAGGGCCACGCTGTTTGGGGCAGAATGGAGATCCCTGCAGCCAGGTGAAGAAGAAAGCCACATGCTTTTGGTGGAGTGCGAACCCCTGCAACTTTGGTAGAAGAGGCCCAGTCGGCTTTGGGGTGCCCCCTTTGGCCAAGGGGCCTGAAAAGCAAGAGAGACTTTGACTGGAACTGGGTACAAAGGACTCTTGCCAGTGGACCATGAGAGGGTACCAAAATACTTTGGATTAACTCGAGATCCTGCACAGTGACACAGCTGACGGTGCCAGCGGCCTGAAACACAGACGTGTGCTCTTTTTCTGATTTACGGTACCTGGAGTTGGGACAGTGGGAGAAGGGAGCGCTGTGTGGGTGTAGGTGTAGAACCTAAAGGACTCTGATATTTTAGTGGAGGCATTAGGCCTGAATAGCATTAAATAAACATTTTGTTTCCTTTTCACAAATCTCTGGCATTGAGAGATGTCTTCCCAGTTGGCGGTGGACAGAAGAGCCCAGTAGATATTAGTATTTTGTTTTTTGGGGGGAGGGGCCCCTGTTGTTTAGCAGTTTTTGGCATCCCTAGGTGGGCCAAATATTGTATTGCCCCTCCCTCGGACCTCTTGTTTGGTAACAGGCCCATGGGAGGAGAAGCCTGGCTTGACCCTTCCACCCACTCTAGGGCATACTGCATAGGTTTGGCAGCTAGTGGGAGGAGAAACCTGCCAAACCTATGTGCATAGGTTGCTTGTGCATAGGACCCCCAGGCATCTGAGCGGGTCTGTGCATACCTGCAGCATGCCAGATAGAAGCATAACACAAAAAAAACACCACCATGTGGATAGTGAGAGATTAGGGTGGGAGGAATAAAGCTTTGTATGTTAGAAATTTTAATGCTACATTTTTTTCTGATGTCTGAGTAAGGGCACTGAATGTTCATTTTGTACTTGATCTTATGAATTATCTAGTTGGTCCTGAGAGGAGCAAAAAGTTTGCTTAGGGAAGAAAATGTATAGAATATACTGAGTTTCAGGAGCCTCTGGGACATTCTGGAGGGAGTCAGGCTTGGGTCCTGAGCTGAAAGCAGATATTGGCAGGTACCCACTGGAGGGGGTCTGGGATGGGATTGTGTGAAGGGCTCTGAATGAGGTGGAGGGCACTAAAATTGGGACCTGTTACACTTCTCTTGCTTGATTGGACATCACACAGAGATTGTGTCAAGTTTTGACATTGCCAGTTATTAGATGAACACTGTGTGTAGGCTTTTCATCTTCAAGTTTACTGATTTGTAACATTAGTTCACTATGTCTATTGCACATGGTGGTTGGTTGCCAAGGTCAAAGGAGATAATTTATCCTATGTGCTTAGAACAGTGCTTGAAGGATGCTGCTGCTGTGGGACCCACACCCTTGACTTTGTTCTACGTCTTTGTCCTGATTTCACACAGCTCTGCGTCTCAGTTTTCATGTAGACCTTCTCTTTTCCTTCTGTCCCCAGAGGGGCCAAGGCTCTTCTGTCCTGTGTCTTTGAATCCACATCCTCCTGCCTCCCTTCTGACCTTCCTCTTCCTGGAACCCCCGTTTCAGATCCCTCACCTCTGATATCAGTTCCTCTGCTTTGTCCATGTGCTATGCTCCATTTTACATGTTCATAAAAAACAAAACACCCAGAATCCTTGAGTGTAGCATATTCAACTGATTTCAAGAGAAATCCAAACATTAGTTAGGACTTTGCTCAAAGGTCTTAGACATTCTTACATTCAAAGACAGTAAATCTTTGACTTTTTTCAACTTTTCTAGTGAGGAAGTATTCACATCTGTCTGATCCAGAGTGAGTATTCCTGTGAACAACTACTTTGTATTACACCACCTCACTGAGTCAGCATGACTTTGATCCCGGCTTTCACGATGAAGGGTCAGAGGTGGTGCAGGACTGCACACTCAGAGTTCAAGTCCCAGCCCTCCCATTCTAGCTGTCTTAACTTGGGCAAGTCGGTTAACCTGCCTGAGCTTCAGCTCTTACTAGGTGAAATAGTAAACTAATCTTTGCCACTTTCACAGAATTTTCTTGAAAAACTTCACACAGGAATCTTAGTAGAGAAAATTAGGAGCATACCAATACTGCATATGAAACACAAATTGACATAGCTACAATGATGACATCTGAGAGAAAAAATGACAAATTCAAACCTTGATGTTTAGGAACTGGCATTTGTTGATTAAATCACATTATTTCCTAGCAAGTCACTTTCCTCATTTATAATTTAGAGTGGTGATCAATTGAGGCAATAAATAAATATATGTACACAAAGATACATAAGTAATATGTAAGCATTCTATATATAGCCCAGTGCTGTTAAAAAATAATGTTTTTTTCTTAATTCCTTTCAATCACATGAGGTTCTCTTGAGCTTTCTCTTATATTTCCACTTACACGTTTCTGTATTGAATTTCTCCCTCTTTTTGAAAAACCATTGATCTGTCTGTCCTTCTGTCATGTTCAATTCA